TCCCTCTCCCGCACCCGCTGCTCCATCAGCACCCGGCTCACCTTGGTGGGCCAGCAGGGGGGACGGAGGGAGGGAAGGGGAGGGAAGGAGGGAAGCGGGGAGCAGGAGAGGGGGTGAGCATGATGTGCCGCCGCTGCTGCGACTCCCTCTCCCGCACCCGCTGCTCCATCAGCACCCGGCTCACCTTGGTGGGCCAGCAGGGGGGACGGAGGGAGGGAAGGGGAGGGAAGGAGGGAAGCGGGGAGCAGGAGAGGGGGTGAGCATGATGTGCCGCCGCTGCTGCGACTCCCTCTCCCGCACCCGCTGCTCCATCAGCACCCGGCTCACCTTGGTGGGCCAGCAGGGGGGACGGAGGGAGGGAAGGGGAGGGAAGGAGGGAAGCGGGGAGCAGGAGAGGGGGTGAGCATGATGTGCCGCCGCTGCTGCGACTCCCTCTCCCGCACCCGCTGCTCCATCAGCACCCGGCTCACCTTGGTGGGCCAGCAGGGGGGACGGAGGGAGGGAAGGGGAGGGAAGGAGGGAAGCGGGGAGCAGGAGAGGGGGTGAGCATGATGTGCCGCCGCTGCTGCGACTCCCTCTCCCGCACCCGCTGCTCCATCAGCACCCGGCTCACCTTGGTGGGCCAGCAGGGGGGACGGAGGGAGGGAAGGGGAGGGAAGGAGGGAAGCGGGGAGCAGGAGAGGGGGTGAGCATGATGTGCCGCCGCTGCTGCGACTCCCTCTCCCGCACCCGCTGCTCCATCAGCACCCGGCTCACCTTGGTGGGCCAGCAGGGGGGACGGAGGGAGGGAAGGGGAGGGAAGGAGGGAAGCGGGGAGCAGGAGAGGGGGTGAGCATGATGTGCCGCCGCTGCTGCGACTCCCTCTCCCGCACCCGCTGCTCCATCAGCACCCGGCTCACCTTGGTGGGCCAGCAGGGGGGACGGAGGGAGGGAAGGGGAGGGAAGGAGGGAAGCGGGGAGCAGGAGAGGGGGTGAGCATGATGTGCCGCCGCTGCTGCGACTCCCTCTCCCGCACCCGCTGCTCCATCAGCACCCGGCTCACCTTGGTGGGCCAGCAGGGGGGACGGAGGGAGGGAAGGGGAGGGAAGGAGGGAAGCGGGGAGCAGGAGAGGGGGTGAGCATGATGTGCCGCCGCTGCTGCGACTCCCTCTCCCGCACCCGCTGCTCCATCAGCACCCGGCTCACCTTGGTGGGCCAGCAGGGGGGACGGAGGGAGGGAAGGGGAGGGAAGGAGGGAAGCGGGGAGCAGGAGAGGGGGTGAGCATGATGTGCCGCCGCTGCTGCGACTCCCTCTCCCGCACCCGCTGCTCCATCAGCACCCGGCTCACCTTGGTGGGCCAGCAGGGGGGACGGAGGGAGGGAAGGGGAGGGAAGGAGGGAAGCGGGGAGCAGGAGAGGGGGTGAGCATGATGTGCCGCCGCTGCTGCGACTCCCTCTCCCGCACCCGCTGCTCCATCAGCACCCGGCTCACCTTGGTGGGCCAGCAGGGGGGACGGAGGGAGGGAAGGGGAGGGAAGGAGGGAAGCGGGGAGCAGGAGAGGGGGTGAGCATGATGTGCCGCCGCTGCTGCGACTCCCTCTCCCGCACCCGCTGCTCCATCAGCACCCGGCTCACCTTGGTGGGCCAGCAGGGGGGACGGAGGGAGGGAAGGGGAGGGAAGGAGGGAAGCGGGGAGCAGGAGAGGGGGTGAGCATGATGTGCCGCCGCTGCTGCGACTCCCTCTCCCGCACCCGCTGCTCCATCAGCACCCGGCTCACCTTGGTGGGCCAGCAGGGGGGACGGAGGGAGGGAAGGGGAGGGAAGGAGGGAAGCGGGGAGCAGGAGAGGGGGTGAGCATGATGTGCCGCCGCTGCTGCGACTCCCTCTCCCGCACCCGCTGCTCCATCAGCACCCGGCTCACCTTGGTGGGCCAGCAGGGGGGACGGAGGGAGGGAAGGGGAGGGAAGGAGGGAAGCGGGGAGCAGGAGAGGGGGTGAGCATGATGTGCCGCCGCTGCTGCGACTCCCTCTCCCGCACCCGCTGCTCCATCAGCACCCGGCTCACCTTGGTGGGCCAGCAGGGGGGACGGAGGGAGGGAAGGGGAGGGAAGGAGGGAAGCGGGGAGCAGGAGAGGGGGTGAGCATGATGTGCCGCCGCTGCTGCGACTCCCTCTCCCGCACCCGCTGCTCCATCAGCACCCGGCTCACCTTGGTGGGCCAGCAGGGGGGACGGAGGGAGGGAAGGGGAGGGAAGGAGGGAAGCGGGGAGCAGGAGAGGGGGTGAGCATGATGTGCCGCCGCTGCTGCGACTCCCTCTCCCGCACCCGCTGCTCCATCAGCACCCGGCTCACCTTGGTGGGCCAGCAGGGGGGACGGAGGGAGGGAAGGGGAGGGAAGGAGGGAAGCGGGGAGCAGGAGAGGGGGTGAGCATGATGTGCCGCCGCTGCTGCGACTCCCTCTCCCGCACCCGCTGCTCCATCAGCACCCGGCTCACCTTGGTGGGCCAGCAGGGGGGACGGAGGGAGGGAAGGGGAGGGAAGGAGGGAAGCGGGGAGCAGGAGAGGGGGTGAGCATGATGTGCCGCCGCTGCTGCGACTCCCTCTCCCGCACCCGCTGCTCCATCAGCACCCGGCTCACCTTGGTGGGCCAGCAGGGGGGACGGAGGGAGGGAAGGGGAGGGAAGGAGGGAAGCGGGGAGCAGGAGAGGGGGTGAGCATGATGTGCCGCCGCTGCTGCGACTCCCTCTCCCGCACCCGCTGCTCCATCAGCACCCGGCTCACCTTGGTGGGCCAGCAGGGGGGACGGAGGGAGGGAAGGGGAGGGAAGGAGGGAAGCGGGGAGCAGGAGAGGGGGTGAGCATGATGTGCCGCCGCTGCTGCGACTCCCTCTCCCGCACCCGCTGCTCCATCAGCACCCGGCTCACCTTGGTGGGCCAGCAGGGGGGACGGAGGGAGGGAAGGGGAGGGAAGGAGGGAAGCGGGGAGCAGGAGAGGGGGTGAGCATGATGTGCCGCCGCTGCTGCGACTCCCTCTCCCGCACCCGCTGCTCCATCAGCACCCGGCTCACCTTGGTGGGCCAGCAGGGGGGACGGAGGGAGGGAAGGGGAGGGAAGGAGGGAAGCGGGGAGCAGGAGAGGGGGTGAGCATGATGTGCCGCCGCTGCTGCGACTCCCTCTCCCGCACCCGCTGCTCCATCAGCACCCGGCTCACCTTGGTGGGCCAGCAGGGGGGACGGAGGGAGGGAAGGGGAGGGAAGGAGGGAAGCGGGGAGCAGGAGAGGGGGTGAGCATGATGTGCCGCCGCTGCTGCGACTCCCTCTCCCGCACCCGCTGCTCCATCAGCACCCGGCTCACCTTGGTGGGCCAGCAGGGGGGACGGAGGGAGGGAAGGGGAGGGAAGGAGGGAAGCGGGGAGCAGGAGAGGGGGTGAGCATGATGTGCCGCCGCTGCTGCGACTCCCTCTCCCGCACCCGCTGCTCCATCAGCACCCGGCTCACCTTGGTGGGCCAGCAGGGGGGACGGAGGGAGGGAAGGGGAGGGAAGGAGGGAAGCGGGGAGCAGGAGAGGGGGTGAGCATGATGTGCCGCCGCTGCTGCGACTCCCTCTCCCGCACCCGCTGCTCCATCAGCACCCGGCTCACCTTGGTGGGCCAGCAGGGGGGACGGAGGGAGGGAAGGGGAGGGAAGGAGGGAAGCGGGGAGCAGGAGAGGGGGTGAGCATGATGTGCCGCCGCTGCTGCGACTCCCTCTCCCGCACCCGCTGCTCCATCAGCACCCGGCTCACCTTGGTGGGCCAGCAGGGGGGACGGAGGGAGGGAAGGGGAGGGAAGGAGGGAAGCGGGGAGCAGGAGAGGGGGTGAGCATGATGTGCCGCCGCTGCTGCGACTCCCTCTCCCGCACCCGCTGCTCCATCAGCACCCGGCTCACCTTGGTGGGCCAGCAGGGGGGACGGAGGGAGGGAAGGGGAGGGAAGGAGGGAAGCGGGGAGCAGGAGAGGGGGTGAGCATGATGTGCCGCCGCTGCTGCGACTCCCTCTCCCGCACCCGCTGCTCCATCAGCACCCGGCTCACCTTGGTGGGCCAGCAGGGGGGACGGAGGGAGGGAAGGGGAGGGAAGGAGGGAAGCGGGGAGCAGGAGAGGGGGTGAGCATGATGTGCCGCCGCTGCTGCGACTCCCTCTCCCGCACCCGCTGCTCCATCAGCACCCGGCTCACCTTGGTGGGCCAGCAGGGGGGACGGAGGGAGGGAAGGGGAGGGAAGGAGGGAAGCGGGGAGCAGGAGAGGGGGTG